TTCCATCGGGGAAAGTTCTTATTATTTTTAAAAGAAAAAAAAAATTTTTTTTTTTCCAAAAATTTTTTTGACATTAGAATGAGTTTTTATAAAAGGGGGTTGCGAAAAGTAAAGGGTTTTTAAAATTTTCAGTAGACAGTCATTTTTCACGAGTTTTTTTACACGATTTAAGTTTTTGGGACGATTGAAGAAAGGGGGCCCCAAAATTTTTTGTAAAAGGTACAATTAATTTAACAAAACTCAGTTTGTGGGAAAAAAAAAAAAAATTATCTTTTCCCTTAAAGGGGCTGTTTTTTTTAACACCCCTTTCCCCCCAATTCTCCAAAACCAAAAAAAATCCCCTTTAAAAATTCCAAAAAACAAACCAACACTACCAAACCCCCTTTTTTCAATTTATTATATTTTATTTTTAAAAATCCCCTTTTTCCCCCCCCCCAAACAATCCCCCCAACCCCCCATAACCCCCCCCTACCCTTTCTAAAATCACAAAATAATTAACCACTCAATCTTTTTTTAAATTTAACAAAGGAAGAAAAAAATATTAAACAGGATCTGTTTTTTACCCAATAATAAATTTCTTTAACGAAAAAATTTATAAAAAATTTTTAGTTTGTTTGACTGGGGGGACTTATTTAATTTAAAAAAAATGTTTTGAATTTTCCCTTTTACTTAAGAATTTATTGATTGGGAAATTCGGGGTTTACTTTAGTGACTTTACTGGGGAATGGAAAATTTACTGCTTTGAAATTTTATTGGCTGGGCTTAACTGAATGACTGAATGGAAAATTTTCCGGAAATGAATTTGGGGCTGACTTACTGGGAAAGGGTTGTTCTGACTTTTCTTTAAAAGACTTGGGCTGAATTTTTTGAATTGACTTTTTTGGATTTTCCCAAATGACTTTTAAATGCTTTTTTGAGGGGACCCTTTATTGGGCCCTTTTGGAAATGACCCTTGGGTTGACTGAATGACTTTTTTACTGACTTACTGAGTAATTTTATGAAATTTTCTGAGTGACTTTATGATTTGACTGGGTACCCGAATGACTTGACCCAAATTACTGAATGACTTGACTGGGAAATTTTCTGAATGATTTGGGCTGGACTACGGGCTTTTACTGACTTACTGAGTTTAGGGCTGAATGACCCCAAAAATTTGGGGGCTCCCCGTTTCAAACCCTCCCCCCCCAGTACCAGAACCATACCATCCAACCCCAGCCCAGTGGGCCAAGGATTTAAATCTCCAAATTCTTTCACAATTTATTTTCCCAAAAACCCCCAGCATCTACAATTTAAAGGGAAAGAAATTTCCTATTTTTGTTTGTTAAAATTTTTTAGTATTAACCCTTTCAGGGGCCCGTCCCCCAGATTTTACGGCTTCACTTGAGTTTTCCAAACCGTTTGATCTACGCCCCCAAAATTTTAGTTTCCAGTTTTAAAAAATTTGTGGGGAAAACACTCATGGCCTACATGTGAGGGGAAAGGGTCTGCGTGGTGGGGTGTGCGGCCCATAAACCAAAAAAATCTAGGCCCCACATGGGATTGTGGGAAAAACCCGGGCCCCCTTTCCCCTTTTTCACCCTGCCTGTCGGGAAGGGCAGCTTCACTCCCCCGGGAAAATTGGGACTCTCCTCTTTCCCCTTTGTTTGTTTTGACAGTGATGGGGAAATGGAAAAGGGGGACGAAATTTTACGGTTTTGATTTGTTAGTGACCCAAAGAATGACCAGGATATCCCATAATAGTGCAGAAAACCCCGACGATCCTCAACCTTCTACCCCTTTGGGGTGGGGGACTTGGACTCACGGTCGGTTGTTCCCCATTTGTAAAAGAAAACTTTATTTTTGCCGGTGGCCCGGGGCCTTTTGACTTCAGTAATGGGTTTATGATAGGACGGGGACTTTTTTGATTTTATTGCGCCTTTAAAAAGAAACATTCGAAAATTGTAATAGTGAGGAATCATATTTACCAAATGAAGCGTTTGGTATGTTTGCCCCTGCAAGGGGCTGGGGTAGTGTACCCCATGCTGTGCCCTGGGGGCGGAGTACATCCCGGAGTACATCCCGTGGCCCAACACCGTTTTTAGTAGTGATAGTGGGATGATGTGGTACACTTGGCCGGTTTGACCCCAGGCATCAGTGGATGGTGTTTGTGGTGGGTGGTTAGTGGCACCCCCATGCGTTTACTCACCAGGGGGCACGCTGGGACCCAAAGCTGCTGACTCGGAGTTCAAGGAAAAAAGCGGGGGCCAGCCACCAGCCCACCACAACCACCCCCACAAACCGCCTATATGTCCCGTATCCACCAGCAAAACCCCTATGTGGGATTGGGAGCAAAATTTCCCCCTTTTTTTCCCAAACCCCACCACTTTGATGACTCTCAAAGGGGAATTCTACCTATTGTCCCTTGGAAAACGGGGCCCAAAGAACTGGAATTTTTGAATTATTCTTTGACAGCCCTTGAAAGGAAATTATTTTTTCGGGAAAGTAATAAGTATTTTTAGTACACCATGGGGAAATACCCCATTTTATCACCACAGTTTAAGAAATACACAGGTGGGAAAAAGACGACTGTTGCAGAAATGTATTTTTCTTTTTGCAACAATTTTTTGCTTATGCCTCACATCTATTTAAAATTAAATAAAAGGGATACTGGTCCCCAGATCGGGGGAATTTTTTTCCCCCGGGCTTGGGATAATCATTTCCCGTGAACAGGTTTTTCTTACTCTTTTTTTATGTTTCACTTCCCCTGACAAAAACCCGGGCCCCGACAGAAGTGAAGGTTTTACAAGATTAAAAAAATGGGGTTTTTTAGGGAATTTTCAAAAAAAGTTTGCATATACTTTTATCCATTCAAAAATCTTGTAATGGACGGTCTTTTTTTTTGTTCAAAGGTTGATGTCTTTTAAAACAGTATTTTTACCGAGCAAGAGGAAAAACTTTTGGGATAAAACTGTTTGTACTCTGGTTTTTCTGTGACCCCCGGTTTGGTGGTTTTTGGGGTATTGTTGTATCACGGGTAGTAAAAAAATTGAAAAAATCCCAAAATGTTTTGGGGATCTCAGGTTTACGTAGTGAGAAACATGAGGGGACCTTATCTTTGGGAAGGGGGATTAATTTTTTACCCTAATGGTACACAAAACCCATTACTCAGGATTTCATGCGATGTGAACAAGAAAAATTTTGTGTGGCCCAGTGCGTTCTAATCGTTTAAAAATATGCCCGGCTCAATGGAAGGGGGGCTCTTTGGGGATGAAGTGCAGGTGTTTTTCTGCCAATGACAAACATGGCAATTTTGGGGGCATGACAAACGAGATGTTTACATTGCTGACAAAACCCTTCACCCTAATGAAAGCAAAAAACAGTGGCAAAGTTTTATTTGAGTGGGCCCAATGGGAAAGAAATTTGAAAACCCCGGGACAGTGATTGAAATTTTACACAAAAAAAATGGTTGGTTTACCCCAATTTTGGGCATGCAGATTGGTTTTGTTGACTGTGTTTGTAAGGGGGGTTACAAGTAGTACATGAAACCCTTTTTTTCCATCCCCCAGGCATTTTAAATGCTCAAAGCATTTTTTAATATGTACCAAATTTAAAAATGGCAACGACCACGATGGTGAATTTTGTTTTTGTTGTCAGGGCAAATCATAATGAAAAATACCAGGTTTAAAAACACCCCGCTATAAACCCCGGTCCTCGAAAATTTCCCCGGATAAAACCCAAGGGTTTGAGGAGGGGAAAGGGGGTTTTTTTATAATTTCAATTTCCCTTAAACCCCAGAAGAAATTTTCTTTTAGAAAAGAGCTTTGTCTGTTTCACAAACAAAACGCGAGGCCCAAAAAAAGACGCAAAAACCCCGGTTTTGTGTGAGGGAAAGTAAGGTGCTCTGTGCAAAGGGGCCTTGTTTCAAGGGAGTTCCAAGCTCCAGCAGTTTTAAAAAAAAAAGTCCCGTGATTGTAAATAGGGAATATTGATGGAAAAAAATTTGTTATTATTTTTATTATCACACTGGCCCAAATTTCCCCCCAAGGCAGGGTTGGCCCCAAAAAAAAAAAACTTTCCCCATCATTCCCCCCCATCACCTGTCTTGCCGAAGGGGTCCCTTTTCACTACAGTTTTTAAAATGCAACATTAACACCCCTCCTTCAGAGTTGAGGGCCCCTGTACTTCCCATCTCCGGGGCTCAAAGTCCGGCCCCCCGGGGTTTTCCCCGAAAACCCCCTTTATAAAAGTTACTTTGCTCCTCCTCCAACGCACGTCAATATTAAAAACCCTTTGTTCCATTCATCCCAAACAAACCGGGGTCATGATACCTGCTGGAAGTCCAAAACCCTTTGCACACAAAAATTTCCAAAACGTTTCATGTTTATTGTAAAAAACAAAAAGTGGTAAACAATAATATGATAATAACTTTAGTGCGGTTATTGTGTTAAATACAGTGAGTTTATATATATACATTATATACAGTATTGGTCTCTCAGGCCCCAAATGTTAGTAGGAATATAAAAAAATTGGAAAAGAAAAGAAAAAACAATAAAAACCGCAAAATAATGTAATGCGCGTATGTGGAATTCGTCGATGTTGCCGCCACCACATCATTTTTGACAAACTTCTTGGCACTCTATCTCGGTAAGTACTGATCAGAATTTTTTTTTTTTGTCTTATTACCTTCACAAAAATATGCTCTTTAATTCTGAAAGAAAAAATAATTTTTTTTTTTTCAAAATTTCTTGGACACTGGAGCACCACTTCAGATTTTGGCCTTGGACCCTGAAGGGGTTAAGCAGTAAAAACAACATAATACATCACAACAATGAACTACAACTACATACTCATGTTTATTTTTGTAAGATGAAAGAAGAAGAAGAAAAAAAAAAAAAGGTGACTGGGACTTGAAAAAATATCTTTCATATGAAATTAGCAGACATTTTTTTTTTTTTTGTTTTTGAGAAAATTTAATATGCATTTATGACGAAACATATCAATTAAATGTAATGTACATTTACCTGGCAACAGTGAGCAATATCTTTGAAGTTCTTGTTCAACTGGACTGACTTCACTTCAGGATTAATCAACTGGATTTCACTGCGGCCAATGTGGAATAACATGGTACGATTGAAGTCCTGACTTAGCATCTGAAATATACAATAGACATGCTACTTTCATCTTTATTAACTTTAATAAGCAACAAAAACTTAGAGAAATACTATTTATGAGGACATGATAGCCACTTTTTTGGGTGGAATGAAAGGTTCTTGTCATCTATACCAGACGTGGTCAAGTCAACGAACAGTGTACGTAGCTTGTTTACTCATTCAATATAAATTGTATTTTGCCTCACAGAACAGTATTGAATGAGCAAGAGCCACATGTGGTTCATGAGCCACAGCTTAAATATACCTTGTCTATACCCTGAAAACCATTCTGCAATCAAAGGAAGAAAATAAAAAATATTTTTATTTTATTATTATCACACTGGCCGATTCCCACCAAGGCAGGGTGGCTCAAAAAAGAAAAACTTTCACCATCATTCACTCCATCACTGTCTTGCCAGAAGGGTGCTTTACACTATAGTTTTTAAACTGCAACATTAATACCCCTCCTTCAGAGTGCAGGCACTGTACTTCCCATCTCCAGGACTCAAGTCCGGCCTGCCGGTTTCCCTGAACCCCTTCATAAATGTTACTTTGCTCACACTCCAACAGCACGTCAAGTATTAAAAACCATTTGTCTCCATTCACCCTATCAAACACGCTCACGCATGCCTGCTGGAAGTCCAACCCCCTCGCACAAAAACCTCCTTTACCCCCTCTCTCCAACCTTTCCTAGGCCCCGACCCCTACCCCGCCTTCCTTCCACTACAGACTGATACACTCTTGAAGTCATTCTGTTTCCCCTCCATTCCTCTACATGTCCGAACCACCTCAACAACCCTTCCTCAGCCCTCTGGACAACAGTTTTGGTAATCCGCACCTCCTCCTAACTTCCAAACTACGAATTCTCTGCATTATATTCACACCACACATTGCTCTCAGACATGACATCTCCACTGCCTCCAGCCTTCTCCTCGCTGCAACATTCATCACCCCTGCTTCACACCCATATAAGAGGTTGGTAAAACTATACTCTCATACATTCCCCTCTTTGCCTCCAAGGACAAAGTTCTTGTCTCCACAGACTCCTAAGTGCACCACTCACTCTTTTTCCCTCATCAATTCTATGATTCACCTCATCTTTCATAGACCCATCCGCTGACACGTCCACTCCCAAATATCTGAATACATTCACCTCCTCCATACTCTCTCCCTCCAATCTGATATCCCCAAACTTTCATCACCTAATCTTTTTGTTATCCTCATAACCTTACTCTTTCCTGTATTCACCTTTAATTTTCTTCTTTTGAACACCCTACCAAATTCATCCACCAATCTCTGCAACTTCTCTTCAGAATCTCCCAAGAGCACAGTGTCATCAGCAAAGAGCAGCTGTGACAAATCCCCTTTGTGTGTGATTCTTTATCTTTTAACTCCACGGATCTTGCCAAGACCCCCGCATTTACTTCTCTTACAACCCCATCTATAAATATATTAAACAACCACGGTGACATCAAAACATCCTTGTCTAAGGCCTACTTTTACTGGGAAATAATTTCCCTCTTTCCTACATACTCTAACTTGAGCCTCATTATCCTCATAAAAACTCTTCACTGCTTTCAGTAACCCACCTCCCACACCATACACTTGCAACATCTGCCACATTGCCCCCCTATCCAACCCTGTCATACGCCTTTTCCCAAAACCATAAATGCCACAAAGACCTTTAGCCTTATCTAAATACTGTTCACCTTATATGTTCACTGTAAACACCTGGGCCACACAAACCCCCCACCTTTCCTAAAGCCTCCTTGTTCATCTGCTATCCTATTCTCCGTCTTACTCCCTTAAATTTTTTCAATAATAACTCTACCATACACTTTACCAGGTATACTCAGCAGACTTATCCCTCTATAATTTTTGCACTCTCTTTTATCCCCTTTGCCTTTATACAAAGGAACTATGCATGCTCTCTGCCAATCCCTAGGTACCTTACCCTCTTCCATACATTTATTAAATAATTGCACCAACCACTCCAAAACTATATCCCCACCTGCTTTTAACATTTCTATCTTTATCCCATCAAAAAATATTTCACAAATATTTCATGATTATATAAAAACCCTATCATACGGCTTTTCTAAATCCATGAAAGCAATGAAAACTTCCTTATCTTTATCTAATTATTGTTCACTTATATTGAAGATATAAGTATAGTAGAGCAATGTGACAGATGTTGCAAGTGTATGGAACTGGTGGTAGGTTACTATATGTAGTTCAAAGTTTTTATGAGGATAGTGAGGCTCAACTTTCGTTTTTCCTTTTGGGCCACCCTGCCTCAGTGAGATACGGCCAGTTTGTTGAAAGAAGTGAGGCTCAGGTTAGGATATGTAGGAGAGAGAATGATTATTTTCCAGTAGACAGGGATGCATGTCATCATGGTTGTTTAACATATTCATAGATGGGGTTGTAAAAGAAATTAGTGCTACAGTGTTAGGGAGAGGTGTTGTATTAAAATCTGAAATTAGAAGTGAACATAGGAAAAAGCAAGGTGATGAGGATAACAAATGAGTTAGGTAATGAAAGACTGGATATCAGATTGGAAGGAGGGAGTATGGAGGAAGTGAATGTGTTCAGATATTTGGGAGTGAACTTGTCGGTGGATGAGTACATGAAAGACAGGGTAAACCGTAGAATTGAGGATGGTATGTGAGGGAATGAATATTATATATAAACATCACACTGTACAGTAGGGCTCCACTTGCACGGCAGGTTAGGTTCCAGGCTACTGCCTGAAAGCGTACATCGCTGCTTCCACTCATAAATGTCAGATAATAAGTTTACACTAACATATATTAAGTCAGCAATAGAACAAGGGAATAAAAACAAACAAAAAGTAAAATACACATGAAGTACACTCATTACTTACATCAAAATATTTGTATTCTTAATGTAGCGTGAGAAGTGAATAGTGTTTATTGTAAGAAGTTAGGTGTGGTAGGACTGGTAGCCAGCCAGGCCACCCCACCCCACCCACACGTAATATAATTCGACATTTAAAAGAACCCTAGAGCAATAAAATGCATATAGTGTACATTCATTGCTTACCTTAAATTATTTGTAGTCTTAACCCTTTGACTGTCGCGGCCGCATATATACGTCTTACGAGGTACCGTGTTTGACGTATATATACTCATAAATTCTAGCAGCTTCAAATCAAGCAGGAGAAAGCTGGTAGGCCCACATGTGAGAGAATGGGTCTGTGTGGTCAGTGTGCACCATATAAAAAAAATCCTGGAGCACACAGTGCATAATGAGAAAAAAAAAACTCCGACCGTTTTTTTAATTAAAATGCCGACTTTGTGGTCTATTTTCGTATAGTATTTATGGTTGTATTCTCGTTTTCTTGGTCTCATTTGATAGAATGGAAAACATATTATAGAAATAGAGGTGATATTGATTGATTTTACTATAAAAAGAACCTAGAAATGGAGCTCAAAGCAGGGGAAATGTTTGATTTTTGCCAATGTTCAAAAATAAACAAATGATGCCATTGTCCAATAAATGTCCAACTAGCCATTTTAATATGCAGTCATGAATGGGTTGATGCTACTTATACAATTATTACAGTATTGCAGTAGTCTGCATAATAGTAAGTCTTCTATTTTTTGTTTGAATAAAAATTCAAAATAGAAAGCAAGAGTAATATCAGAGGGGCCTGGAGACATGACTGATGAGCAAAGAAAATGTTATTTTAGAGCCAGGAATGTCTGCATTGTTCATTCTGGACCTTATTTTGAAATTGTCATATTTTTTAGTTTTTGTGAAATTGGCCAAATTGCAAATTTCTGACCACATTATTAGGTCATGGAGTCTAATACCTTGGGTTGCTTTGAAGAGAGATTGGATAAGTATGAGTAGGCCTTCTGCAGTGTTCCTTTCATTTTTATGTTCTTATGTGGGATAGCGATGAAGAAGTTTCTTGGCAAGGGGTTCAGCTATGTTATAGAAGCCGTTTTTCTGGTTGAAACTGTTGGATATACAGATAAGTGATAATTCCAGGATTCTTTGGTACTGAGGGTTGTCTTCTCTGGTGATAAGTCTTGCATTTCTGTAGTTGATTAAATGGTTGTGTGAATTTCAGTGTTGAACACAGGCATTCCTTGAAACGTCAGATCTGCCTGCGATCTGGTGTTCTGAAATACACGTTTGAAGGTCTCTGTATGTTTTGCACACGTATAATTTGCTGCAGTCATTACAAGGGATTATGAATACCCCTGCAGAGGATTGAAGCTTATCTTGTCTATTACTGGTAATGTCCTTGATGGTGGTGAATGTGGAGGTAGATACTTGGAATGAGGTATCGGAAAAGATGTTGGAAACGTGTTTGGCAATGGAGTTGGTGGGGAGGACTATGTATCTGTTCTTGGCAGTGTCTTTTCTGGGTGTGCTAAAGATGGTTAATGCCTGTCATCTGCAGTCTCTAATGAAGTGATGAGGATAGTGAAGTTTGGAAAATACTTGTTCAATTAGAGAGCATTCTTCCTTAAGGAACTCATTGCTGCAGATTCTGAGTGCGCACAGGAAAAAGCCTATAATTACACCACGTTTAGGTTTGGTGTCATGGTGAGAGTAGAAGTGGCAAAGTTCATGTTGGTTGGAAGGTTTTCGATAGACTTTAAAATGAAGTTTATGGTCAGCTTTGCAGAGAAGAACTTACGTTATATTGATGACATTCTCATCATAACTCCCAGACACTTCAAAGTTCAAGTTTTCCAACACAAACTCAAACAGGTTGAGCCCTCAATCCAGTTCACACTACAACAAGTCAACAACTTTCCTTGATGTTCTTCTCTGCAAAGCTGACCATGAACTTCGTTTTAAAGTCTATCGAAAACCTACCAAACAACACGATCTTTTCCACATCTACTCTCACTACGACACCAAAACTAAACATGGTATAATTACAGTGGACCCTCGGCTAACGAAAGCATTGTCTAATGATAAATCCGCCCAACGAAGCATTTGAGCATAAAAATTTT